CACATGTATTATGACTGTGGAAATGATGATCCAAGGTTAGTTAACTTGAGTAAAGCACATTATCCATGTGTATCTTGCAATCAGCGCAGATTTCGTGTTCCTTCTGAAAATACTGCAGCCGTGGCTAGCGCCATTGTCACCGATAGCATATAGCGCAACCGACCACCACCAAATATATTCTTGCAACAGAATAAACATTTACTAGCTTTGGAAAGCAGAATATATGAATTCAAGATTTAATTCTAACGATGGCTTTACGGAAAATGTACCACCTGTTGTTTCTGAAGAGCACTAGTACTGTGACAGCATTCAATCTTCATTGTCATTGTGAGATGTTAAAATTATATTTTAGATATCTTTAACCAGTGTACATCATCCGTTAGCAAAGTTAAATGTATTATTCCAGCAGCCAAGATTTCTATTTCAAATGTGTGTCAAAGGAAAGAATATCTACATGCAGCAGAAAACAATGATCCATCTTTCATTGACAATGATCTAATATTATGTAACCAGGGGTACAGGCAGTTTGGTGACAAATGTCAACACCATGCATGTACCCTATTACCCGATCTATCCAGTTTCCACACCGACTTAATACGCTAATCCACAGTACATACAAACAACGTGCCACGTGCTGTAGCTTCGGTACATTTGGACATTAGGTAACCGGTCGGGATGAGACAGGCGCTTCCACCTACTCTAGTTGTAGTGTTTCGAACAGTAGCAATGTCTCGAGTAGTTTATATCCTCAAACAAGTTTGAGGTTTGTGTTTATTAATATTACCCATTTAAATAAAAAAAAATGCCGAGCTTAGTTTGTGCGTCAGGTAAATGCTTTGGTCTGTATGGTAAAATGCCTATTTCTTATTAATATCTTTTAATTTTTCTTAGAGAGCATGAAATGAAAAAATCATATTATTGACATGAACAATTGTTCCGGAGATCTATTTTCCAAATGTCATAAAAATTGGCCAAAATATGCATTTTGCACTGCTTTCTATAGTAAAATTAGTACTTTGTATATCGAAATTTTGAGTTTCTTGATAATAGTTTTCTATTAGATACAACGAAAAGTTTTTCAACAATGCATTGCCCATATATTTAGTAACATGCTCAGTAAGTCATACAACATGGATATACTTTCCAGTTGAAAAAAGGCATGAATATCATATCTGACCCGATAATAAATTCATTTAGGAATGTGGCCGGTCTAGGAGAACAATGTCAGTCCAATTTCATGAGGCCGAGTCCTCTCATGTTAGTGATTAATTTATTGTCAGTTCGAAATTTAGCTTGAAGTTAAGAAAGCGTCAGTTGTTTGGAGTTTTAGACAGTTCGGAAATTTTGTCTGGATGCAGCCCCGCTACATATACTCGCTGTCTGTCTATGTACTTTGACGAACTGCATATATCGAACATAACTGATTACCTGAATATTCTTACACACAACCTTACAACAATTTAATTTTCAATCACAAGTCAATTTTCAATCGGGCGTCTACTGTATTGTGGCAGGCTTAGGACGACTGTCTTTGCTCCACGCATGCACGAGACTGGGTTCTCATATGAACAAAGACGGCTTCTTTGACTGTTGCGCAGACCAATGAGTACAGATCTAGACATTACCAAGCTTTGATTAGATAATTTCCTTGGTTTGGTTATTGGAAGGTTATCGAAATAGTAGCCTGTGCTAATTAGTGCACGACGCGCCCAGGCCAAAATTCATACTTTTAATTTCCATTAGAAGAGTGCATTCAACTCGGTGGGTAAAGCGATGTTTATCAACGCAAAAGTCCTCATGCGTGATGTGACGACCACGGCCCTAAAACCGTTTGCTCAGCGCTGTCCGATCTGCACCAGTAACATTACCTTGCGGGCGTCACTTGCCCAAAGTCAACCCAGTCTTACATGCTTGCAACAACTGGGAGACCACCAACGTAGAAAGTGTGATTTTAACCACTAATCTTCACCATTGCTTCGACGATTTGGTTAGTTGTTTCGTCGCGTACTATAAAACTGACTACAATCATCCTGATTCGATTAGGCGAGTGAGCAAAACATGGTGTTTGAAAAGCCAGTAATACACGTAGCGGGAATAGGAAATAACACATAGAGATATAGCAACAAAGTCAATTTTCATAATTGATATATGATTACACACGTATCGTGGAAAACACTTTGGTACAACGTATGTCATTCAATTAAATAAATTAAATGTTTTTTTAGAAACTCTTTGTTTACCTCAAGAAACTCGTCATTTTGGCAAAACTCTTATCTCTTTAATAATAATAATAACTTTATTACACAACTTGATCATCAGGGGATTTGAAGGTAAAGGGGATAACAAGACATAAATAAACAAATGCAATAAAATTGAAAAAAGAGCTGAAGGAATGTCAAAATAATAACTTCAATATTCTCGCAACTTGTAATCAGGGGATTTATAGATAGTATCTTTAAGGTATAGTGAAGGGCTTTTGCATTTGTCATTACCTCAAGAAAAATATCATCTGGTAAATTAGACTTGAGACCACAATCTTCTTTCACTTTTAAAGGAAAGACATTTAAGGATAAAAAGCTTTATGTTACATCTTTAACATTTTTCGAAGGTTGAATGTTGTCACACGCAACGTAATATTACCGTAATTGGTATAGTACAGGTGTGATGGTTCAAATACCAAAATGGCAACAGTAACAGAAAGACTTCCCTGGCGGCGATGATAAAATACGAACACGGAGCCAACAGATGAGGTTTCAACTGGTACTGGTATTATTATACTCTGCAAACATCAAGTACAATAACGCGGTAAAACTCCACTACTCCAATAACTAGATACTTAAACTCCAATACAATTCAACGAGATCTTCGATCTGATCTCAGTGCTGAACACCTCCCCTATATATACCCACACTGTCTATAAATAGACCATTACGTCAACATACATAATGAGTCTGGCACTTACTACAAATTTCTAGAATGTTCCATTACCTTCTATTGCCTCCTACAGTTATCTATTACCTATTCAACCAGTTCCTAAAAAGAAATATAGAATATTCCACCCAGACACAGTACGGTTCTAGAACATTCTCAGTGACACGGGAGTGGTAAATAAGTCGTATGCGACAAATGTATTTATATTTTTCAGATAATTTTAACTCAAAATGTTCTTTAAATAAGCAGTAAGTCCTCAATTTATTCCTTTCACCATCCTTAC